TTTTGATATTCAGACTACTGCCACTTGTAAAGAATAGGAATTGCCCATTTCCATTGCCAAGGACAGAGAACTCGGTATCGGTGCCGGGGTAAGTGCAGCTTTCACCGGGTGCGAGAATATCGCCAACTTCACAAATTGCCGATGCCGTTGGCACTTCATTCACGTCGGTAATACTGATAGTGACAGCGATTGTATCTGTGAAGTCGCCATCGGAGACAGTGACTGTCACCGTGTAGGACGATTTTGTTTCGTAGTCAAGTGCTGCCTGCGTTTGCAGCTGCCCGTTCGTTGTATCTATGTCAAATGCTGACGCATCTGTGCCACTGAGACTATAAGTTAAGGTGTCGTTGTCAACATCCGTTGCGGATACAGCACTGCCGATGTTCACACCCGATGCGGTGTTCTCGGCAATTGTGCGAGTGGTGCTGGTACCATCTGTGAACACCGGAGCAGTATTGGTCGTGGTCGCCGTAGCGGTAAATGTAATCGTCTGCGTGATACCTGTCACACTGACGCTGACGGTGTTTGTGCCAGCGGTATTGCCGAGCGTTAATGTGGTTTCTGCTCTACCGTTCACATCGGTTGTGGTATTTGTCGCACTAAGTGTGCCACCGCCTGCCGTAACAGCAAAAGTTACAGGCACGCCAGCAAATGCGACGCTGCTCCCGTCTTGCACCTCAACGACAAACGGATGTGTAAGGGTTAGCACCGGTATTTTCCTGCTGTGTATCGCCTGATATTTTCACAGGGGCGGTCGCCACTCGGTTATCAAAGTCTACATAAGCATTTCTCGCCTGTAGCGCGGGTATATGCGTATAGATAGACGGATAACTCAACAGATTACCCCGCACATCAAGCTCGTCATCTGTTCTCAACCCCGTGTTTGCAACCAACGGTGAGAGGTCGGATACCGCGTTATTCTGAAAATATAACTCTACGAGTTGCGTTAGATTTTGGACGGCGGATATATCCGAAATACTGTTGTTCGGCATATCTAACCATTCAAGGTTCGTCAGGTTCTGAACAGGTGTTATATCCGATATAGTGTTGTCGCCAATTCGGAGTTCTGTTAGGTTTGTTAATCCCGCTACCGCTGAAATATCTGTTATACCGTTCTCATTCAGATGCAGCTGCGTCAGGTTCGTCAATCTTGACACTGCAGCTATATTTGAGATACTGTTTTCACCGAGACGTAGCCGCGTAAGACTTGTCAATCCTGCCAAGTGCGATATATCCGAGATGCTATTCCCCCACAGGTATAACGTTGTCAGATTGGTCAATCCTGATAAGTCGGATAGATTAGAGATTTGGTTATCCCATAGCTGCAGCTCTGTCAGGCTCGTCAAGCCGGTCAGTGCGGATATATTCGAGATTGTGTTATTACCAAGTTTGAGCGTTGTGAGGTTTGTCGCTGTCTCAAGTCCTGTCAAATTGGTAATACGTGCATCTTGTGCGGTAAGCGTGGTAAGCGTTGCTATCTCCGTAGCGGAAATTGTTGCACCAGATGTTTTGCCGAGTGCCGATTCAATTTTGGCGCGCAGATTGGCATCGGGAATGTTTACGTCTGTCCGCTGTGTAACAACTTCGGTGGCACTTGGACTGATAACTTCCAACGGCAGATCGGCAGATTTGACAAGTTCATAGCCCTGATGGCTTGTGGGTAACTGTGGCAACGTCCCGATGTCTACGGTGACTGCAGTTGTGGTACCAGCGGTGCGGGTGACACTGAGTGTATCACTCTCCACGCTGCCTTTGGGAATTGTGAGTGTCGTTGTGCCACCATTGATAGTGCCGTTTGCGACACTGATCTGCAAGACGAAATCAAACGTTGCACCAGCGGGTGCCACCGCTTTGAACTGACCGTCTGCAACCTTCTCTAATGATACGGTAAGGGGTAGTGGGTCAACTGCGTTATCTTCCAGGTAGAGCTTTCTCAGCGTAAGAAACGATGCCTTCATTTTAAAGATACCCATTGGCAGCGTGGTAAACCGGTTGCCATCTAACCAGATATCGTACAACGCCGACGGTCCATCAAAGATGCCCGCTGGGAGCGTTGTCAATTGGTTGTCGGCTAAGGTGAGGTAGTTCAGTTCGGTTAGCTTATTGAAGATACCTTCTGGCAGCGAAGATAACTGATTGCCTTCCAGATTGAGTGTTCTTAACAGCAGTTAGTTTGTCAAAGATGCCTGCTGGCAATGCGGTGAGTTGATTACCGAAGAGGAAGAGTTCTCCCATATTTGATTGCCCATCAAAGATGTCCTCTGGCAGTGTAGATAACTGATTGTTATGTAGCTGAAGTGTTCGCAGCTCGGTCAACCCATCAAAGATGTCTGTGGCAATGTAGATAACTGATTGTTATGTAGCTGAAGTGTTCGCAGCTTGGCCAACCCATCAAAGATGCCCTCTGGTAGCGTTGATAACTGGTTTTCGGACAAGTCAAGTGATGTGAGAGCGGTGAGTCCGTCAAAATCACCGGCTTTCAGTGTTGTAATGTTGTCTCTGAGTAGAAAAACGGAGGTAATCGCGGCGAGGTGTGCTTCGGTCACATCTGCAGCAGAATTCACACCCGGCACTGCGGCAACAATAGCGTCTTGCACCTGCTGTGTGCGCTGGCTAATTGGAGTGCTACCTGCTGGGGTAACATTTATACGGGCAGCCTCACTATAACCATCGCCACCTCTTGCCCTGATTTCAAAAGTGTAGGATGTTCCGTTAGTAAGGTTAATATCTATAAGATTGTCAACATTACGATTATTATTTCTGTCTCCAAACGTACAACTCGTCAGAGTGTTGTGTCCTGTACGCCCCAATCCGATTGTCTCCCAATCCGGATCCCAGGTGTTTCCACCATCCACGCTAATCCGATATTCATATTCGGTTATGGGTAGAGCGATCGAGTCGGCATTAGCAGGTGGTATCCAAGACAAGGTTACCTTTTCGTAGCCGGGAGTCGCTTGCAAGTTTGTCGGTGGTCCTGGTGGCATCGGAGGTGTTGTTATAAAACCGATTTGAACAGTTTTCCCATCAGACCAATCCAATTCAACATTATTCCACGTATATTGGTTGTAATCGAGAGCTGTAACTGATGTAAACTGTTGTGCATCCAAGTGTAACGCAAATCCACCCGGTAGATGTGGAATTGTTTGCAGTGCAAGTCTTTTTCCAGCAACACTGTATGTAAGTTTATACATGGTGTAAGAGACACCATTGAGTTCAAATGATTGTGGCGAAAAGGAGCCAAAGTCCCATTCTGGGGCTGAATGTTGATTGTAGCCTCTTAATGCAGCACCGGGACCTGCACCTACTGTCAATGTCAAAACGGATTCATCGGCAATGTCCCCCTCGATCACTGTAATCGGCAGATCAGTAGATTTTGACAAGGGAATAGCCAAAATGATTGGCAGGTCGCGATGGCAAAGTTCCAATATCCGCACTCGCCGCTAACGTTGCACCGGATGTGCGGGTAACGGTAAGTGTCCCACTTTCCACACTGCCTGCAGGAATAGTAAGACTCGTCGCACCGCCGCTAATGCTTCCATCGGTAACGCTGAGTGGCAACACAATCTCAAACGGTGCACCCGCGGGTGCGACCGCCTTGAACTGCCCATCCGCTACCTTTTCTAAGGATACAGTAAGTGGCATCGGGTCAACAGAGTTGCCGCTCAGACGGAGCGTTGTTAGCGACGATAGCCCAGAAAACAGACCATCAGGAAGTGTTGACAATTGATTATCTCTCATTAATAGTGTTGTCAGGTTGGGTAACTCGCTAAATATATCAGGTGGAAGACTTGTCAGATTGTTGTTATTCAGGTTGAGCGTTGTCAGAGACGGTAACCCAGCAAATACACCATCAGGAAGCGTTGACAATTGGGTACTGTACAAACCAAGGCTTGTCAAAGTTGTTGGCCATTTAATGCTATCAAGTAGATTTGTGAGATGAGAACCAGACAGTGAAAGACCAGTCAGGTTAGTCAATTGGTCAAAAATACCCATCAGGCAGCGAAGTCACCTGTCCAGTATGGAACCCCAAATCTGTCAGGTTAGTCAATTGGTCAAAAATACTATCGGGCAGCGAAGTTAACTGTCCAGCATGGAACCCCAAACCTGTCAGGTTAGTCAATTGGTCAAAAATACCATCGGGTAGACTTGTGAGTTGAGACATAACCAGTTCAAATTCTGTCAGGTTAGTGAGGGAATCAAAGATACCATCGGGTAGCGAAGCCAACTGCGGCATATATAATGTCATTGATGTTAAGTTTGTGAAACCCTGAAACGCATCAACAGGCAAAGTGATTAACTTTTCATCGATCCATTCCATAATCGTTACGTTGCTGAGATCATTGAATAGCCCTGCGGGGAGTGAAGTCAACTGTCTTGTCGACAAACCCAGTTCGATCACACCAGTGAGACCATCGAAATCGCCAACCTTCACGGAGCTGCCGAGGCTGACCTCAAAAGATGTAATCGCGGCGAGGTGTGCTTCAGTCACATCCGCTGCAGAATTTACGCCTGCTGCGCGCACAATGGCATCACGCACCTCCGGCGTACGTTCGCTGGCAGAAAGTATGCCTCCGAATTCGCTGAACACCAATGGTAGATACACGGATTTGACGAGGGTATAGCCGGTATGATTTTGGGGGAGTCCAGGCAATGTCTCAATATCCACAGAAACAGAAAATGTTGTGCCGGGCGTGCGGGTCACGGTGAACGTATCGCTTTCCACACTGCCTACTGGGATCGTGATACTTTCTGCGCCATCGTTGATGCTGCCGTTTGCAACCCTGATAGGCAGCACAAGGTTAAACGGCGCGCCCGCGGGTGCCACTGCCTTGAATTGACCATTCGCAACACGTTCCAGTGAGACAGTAAGGGGCAGCGGGTCAACAAGGTTGCCGGTCAGGTTAACAGTTGTGTAATCACCTAATTCGGCAAGCTGATCTTCTGATATTGGACCCAGTGGGACACCGAAGATCTCAGTCCCTGTAAGGTCGGGAGCTTCGTCAAAAATGCCCTTTGAAGATGCCGTCTGGTAATGAACTCAATTGGTTGTTGCTTAGGTCGACTATCATTGTAGCTTTGTCGAAGATGCCACTTGGCAATGAACTCAACTGGTTATTGCTTAGTAAGATGTATGGCATGTTGGTGAGATTGTCAAAGATGCCGTCTGGTAATGAACTTAATTGGGTGTTGCTTAGGAAGATGGATGATACTTTGGTGAGATTGTCAAAGAGGCTGCCCGGCAACGAACTCAACGGGGTGTTGGCTATGGCGAGATATGTCAGATTGATGAGATTGTCACAGATACCTTCTGGTAAAGAACTCAACTGGGTGCTGACTAACGCGAGTGTATCCAGATTGATGAGATTGTCAAAGATGCCGTCTGGCAATGAACTGAACGTGCCGATTAGCCCGAGTGTATCCAGATTGATGAGATTGTCAAAATCTCCCTGTTTTAGTACTGAAATATTCTCTACCTGCAGATCCGCTTGTAATCGCAGCGAGATGTGCTTCAGTCACATCCGCAGCAGAATTAACACCAGCTGCAGCTACAATAGCATCGCGCACTTGTGGTGTTCGGTCAGCGACCGGGGTAACCTCGCCAGCTTCCGGAAATGGAGGTGGCGTGATGGTAGGCGGTAGGTGAAGCGTAGTTAGATTGGTGAGATTGTCAAAATAACCTTCTGGCAGTTGAGTCAACGGGTTGTCCAATAGATTGAGAAGTGTCAGGTTGGTAAGATTGTCAAAGAGACCCGCTGGCAACGAACTCAATTGGTTGCTGTATAGGGTGAGGGTTGTCAGATTGGTGAGCTGGTCGAAGATGCCCGCTGGCAACGAACTCAACGCGTTGCCGCCTAGACTGAGTGTTGTCAAGTCTGTGAGATTGTCAAAGAGACCCGCTGGCAATAAACTCAACTGGTTGTCAGCTAAATTGAGTGCTGTCAGGTTTGTGAGGTTGTCAAAGATGTTCTCTGGGAATGAACTCAAATCGTTGCCATCTAGGCGGAGCGTTGTCAGGTTAGTCAGGCCATCAAAATCGCCGGGTTTCAGTTCTGTAATATCCCCATGCAGACTAAACCAATTGCCGCCGAGGCTTAAGTCGACCCCACTAGACCCAGGGGCATTCAGACTCGTAATCGCCGCGAGGTGTGCCTCAGACACATAATGCCCCATGTTATATTTCTTGTCGACAAATTTCCCATTCACCATGTAGCGTAGGTCTCTATCGTGGTGGATATGATTTATCTCTGGCACTGCCGCCACAATAGCGTCAAGTACCTGTGGTGTGCGTTCGGCGACAGGGGTGGGTGCTCCCGGCAAGGGGCTGAACATTTCCAGATGATAGGAGGATTTATAGAAAACGTAGCCCGACCCGGGGGGGCTTGGCACTGTCCTCTCAAGGTCTACAATGACCGCAGCGGTTGTGCCAGGCGTACGGGTCACGGTGAGAATATCGCTTTCTACACTGCCTACCGGGATCGTGACACTCTCTGCGCCCCCATTGATACTTCCATTCACAACAATGAGTGAAAGGTCCATGTTAGATGGCGCACCGGTGGGCACAATCGCCTTGAACTGACCTTCGCTAACCTTCTTCAAACCTACGGTAAGCGGAAGAAACGGCAAAAGTGATGGATCATCACCGTAAATGTTAGTATAATAGAGGAACTGGAGCGAGTTCAGCGAAGTGAGTCCTGCAAAAATCCCTGCTGGCAGAAGACTGCTCTCCGAAAATCCGTAACCGAGTCTTAGTTCAAGACGAGACAGGCCGGTGAGACCATCAAAATCTTCAGATTTCAGGGGAGAGTCTAAAGCATGGATATTATTCACAAACAACGTATCTATTTTAGCAAGATGGGCATCAGTGATGTGTTCATAAGCAGAGACGCTCCGATCATGGAATAAACGGACTACGTTGTAAATAGATTCGCGCACCCGTGGTGAACGCGTGCTGACCGGAACTTTCGCCTGCTGAATATTTGTTGCCCGAAGCGTCCAAGGAGGGGGGGCATCAATTCTATTTCCCTGCTTATCAACAGCCGAGACATAAATCGTATGCCGGAGCTGATCGAGAAGACTCGTATCATCATCACCCTCAGAAGGCAAGCCTCCCTTATAATTGAATGTGACGGTTGCATCTGTTTGACCGGACAAATTATGATAACTTACGACTTCATTGTATCCGGTGGGAAGATTGATTCCTTCAGGCGTCTTAACGAATAAGGTTACCTGCTGAAGTCCATCAGGATCGCGGACTCTGACTGTGACCGGTACACTCGTTGTCCCATACGAATATTGAGATGAAGAAAGAAGTTGAACGGATGGTGCTGCTCCCGCTTGTAGTGGAATACTGTGATTGATATAAGGATTCACAGCCAAATACTTCGCTGCGCCTGCAGACAAGGAACTCCGACCAGATCCATACGACATAATGTATGAATCATCACGGAAATCGTGTTGCAAGCCGAAGGCGTGTCCGAGTTCATGCGCTGCAGTGCGCCAATCCCATCTGCCGTCAATTATTGCCTGTCCTCTCTGTTTAACCCCGGTACCACGTCCACCAGATGATCTACTAATGTCCATAACGACTAATTGAACGATTGAAGAGATATCAAACTCTCGACTAATCTCGTTCTCGGGACGATCTCTGTCTTTGTAATGGCTGTTGAAGTAATCCCCGTTGACGCTATGGACGATCGGAACGCCTTTCGCATCGGTTTCAATCCGGAAAGTCATGTCTCCGTGTCCATGTGCCTCCATCTGATCGGCATAGAAACTCTGAACCTCCAGAATCCCAGTTTTCATCGCATCAACAACTTCTTGGCGATACGAACGATCGTTCGGTAGGAAGTAGAAGAGCCGCACGGTGCGGGTGTTTGCTTGTCCGTAACTAACATTTTGTATACCAATGGAAAGTATCAAAACGGTAAGTAAAGTAAACACCAAACATTTTTGATTTGCAACCAGCGTTTTCATGATAATCTCCTTTTCAACAAACAGATCTTCTCGTTTTTTGATTCCATTCTATGTTCAAAACACAAAATATTTTCTTGAAACATGCTCACTGCTTTTTCGGTTGAACGTGCAATCGGGTTGATTTACCAAATATATCTGCGCAAGATGCTGTAATTTCCTCTCAATCTTCCGAGCAAAAAGAGTAGTGTTATGCTAACTCAGGATACAGTTAATTTGCGTATACCCGTTTCATCTAAGGTGCTATTTCAGAAAAAATTAAGTTGAATCGCGAAGTATATATCATTTAAACGCTTTAAAATTATAATAAAAATAGAAGTATATTAATAAGTTAATACGACTAATTGTTCCTTATGTTAACTGACTATGTCAAGTTATAGTAAAGTCCAAAAACATCTGAACACAATAGGGTTTGATACTTCACCGCCGCTGGCGAGGTTTCCTAACCTCGCCAATTCCTTAGTGTCCATTTAATTGTAGGCTTTACTATAAATCCGTAAAAAAAGCATAATTTGCTCGAAAAGACGCATTTATAGTGAAGACTATAATTACTTGGACATTTTGGATAGGCGGGGTTATATGAAGTTGGGTGTGTCATAAATAAAGTTGTGAAGTGTCAGGATAACGGGTATCCTTTAAAGCACGCACCTGTCTCTGATAATTCCTTTCTCCTTTAGCGCAGCCAGAGCCTTTCCACCAACCCGCCGTATGAGAGGTGCAGTCATACCAGAATTTCATTCCGACTTAAAATCCTTATCTTGCGCGACGAGAGAAAACCGCCGCGTCTTCTCGGTGGCCAACGGTGTATTCGTGATGAGATGAAGATAGGCTAAAATCTCATCCCTATTCATCTTGTTCCGCACCGCAGCCTGGACAAAAGCAGGTATATTGAGGTTCATCCTAAATAGCAAAAATTTATTCGAGATTAAATGAGTGGATAGGTGGCATAAATAATAAAAATCCTTCAGGTGCTGATATCCAGTCCATCGCCAACAAAGTAAGCGCGCAGAACGCGACTGCAAAGCACCAATATACGACCATCAGTGCATCAAAAAATTGTGGTATTTGGACGTTGTATTCTCAGACGCATACCCAATTGCCAGATGGGTGGAGACGGGAGGTAGAGGGATCTACCCCGGCAATCCGTCTCCAACGTCCATTCGCAATTATACGTGATTTTCCGAAAAAAATCAAGTAAAAATTACGACGCTGCTTAAAATATCAGAGACATCAAACGATATATATGATATAATTAAACATGCACTGGCAATCTAGCTGGCAGTGCCGCGGTTCGGGAGTCTTACACACTCGCCGAACCACCCATAATGGATTTTACGGATGCCAAAAGATATTATAGCAAAAATTCAAATAAAATACCACATTTTTTTCATTTCAGCCCAATTTTTGTGCGAATCCAAGTCGCGATCCAACAAATTTTGAAGGATAGCCATTATTTTCCGCGCACTCCCTGCAATGCGACGTGTAACACCTACGCAATACGCAAGAAATGTGCCATTTCCAATAATGTGCTGTAACGAACCTCAGACATTAGGTGAATCAAGGGTAGGATCAAAGAAGTATATCTTCACGGGTTGGGAAAAAATTTTAGCGTTTACCAAAAAATTTTGAGGAATGGGTAAAATTTTTAAGAGTTTTAGGACTTACGCAATTTGCTGATGTGTAACTACGCAGCCCCTTCGCCAGCAAAGGATGCTGCGTAAGTCCTGTGGAAGGTCTTATAGAAGTATGCTTTAGGTCTCTCTAAGTTTCTGTATCTTCTATGTTAATTGGGCTGCTTTTATGTCTATTAAATATATAATCGGAGATATTTCCTAAAGTTTCTTGTGTTGCCTGTTTGGCATTCCTCTCATTTCCATTATTCGCGTCGAGATGTTTTTTATAGACCATCTGAAAAATATGCGTTGTGATCGCGTCTAATGTTGATTTTGAGTTCCAAAATGAAGTTATACAACTGTTTTGCTTCGTCTATGTTGACTTCAGAGGTTTCGGTACCAGAGCGCATCTGGGATGGTATCCATCTTTCGTATTCTCTGCGACGCCCACCTCTGACAACGCCCAGATTCGCGAAATGTTTGGGGTCGCCAGGGGCATCTAGGAAGTCGCTGGATTTTAGTTCGTCAGTATCCGCTAAAACGACAGCGCGCTCAACAGCATTTCTGAGTTGTCGCACATTCCGTGGCCAGTCGGCATCTTGGAGTTGAGAGAGCACTGCAGGTGCCATGTTATTAATTGGTTTATTGTATTTCTCTCTGAAGTCCGAGAGGAAACTCTCAGCTAAGGGCGGAATATCCTCGCGGCGTTCACGTAGCGGAAGAATATGGATCGGGATAGTCGCAATACGTTCATATAAATCCTCTCTGATTTTGTCAAGCTCCGCATTCGTCGCGGAGACGATACGGACATCGACTGTAATAACTGCCTCCCCGCCGACCCGCGTGAACTCTTGTTCCTCCAATGCCCGGAGCAATGTCACTTGCGTCTCACCTGACATTTCACCGACTTCATCTAGGAATAGGGTCCCCCCATTTGCGCGCTCCAACATCCCGCGTCTGCGCCGTATAGCGCCAGTAAAACTTCCTTCTTCATGCCCAAAAAGTTCACTCAGAAGGAGTTCCCCGGAAAATGCGCCACAGTTGATGGCTTCAAAGGGTTGATTTTTGCGTGGACTCTTTTCGTGTATCGCCTGTGCAACGACTTCTTTACCGACACCTGTCTCACCTGTGATGAAAACAGGCACTTCAGTCGGCGCGATCTGCTCAACAAGGTCAAGGACCTCCTGCATCGCTTCCGATTCAGCAATAATCGACTCGGACTTACTGTTTCTAGTGCGCATTAGACGTTCATCCTCTTCAAGGCTGTCAACCTGTTCGGGGAAAGACAAGGTTTCTCTTGCCTGCTTTGTTGGGTGGGTTGCCCGTGGCGTGTCCTTCCACCTCTGGGATTTAACGCCAGTGCTGGCAGGATTTCTAAACGGTAAACCTCACCTGTTGACAACACACTGGGTCATATTTATAAGGTTTTGCGATACTCGGAGATTGCCGTAGCGAATTCGCCACATTGTGCGTATGCAAGTGCTTTGTCGCGACGGTACGCCTTATTCCCCAGATCTACCGCGAGTTCGGTGTCCAATTGTTCGATTTTTTCTGCCAAAGTTTTCTGGCGTGTCGCTATTTTAAAATGCGTCTGTCGGTTCTCAATCCCCTCTATCAGCAACTCGCGAAACCACAATGCTGGGAAGAGGTGCTTCAGATCACCCGCATCAGGCGTACGTTTAGCGTCAATAGCCGAACAGAATTCCTGAAGTTGACCTGCAGATCCATAGACTTTACCCGACATTTCGTCATCCGACCCGCCGATCCTGAAGGTATTATTATCTGAGAAACACCGCCAAGTTTGTAAATTGCTCCAAATATAAGAAGCACCGCCTGTGATTTCAAGTGTGTGATAGGAGTCGTTACTCCATTGGCGATTGGAAGTCATACAGAATGTAGTCAATTCACCGTTGGGGAATTGCACGATACTCGTAATGTTCGGCGCGCCACTCCGTGATACCAAAACCGCCACATCTTCTGGCAGAGCAGGTGCTTCCATAAAACGTTGGGCAAGTTCAAAGGCAAGTTGGAAGTGGCAGTTGACCGCATTCGACAACAAAAAGGCGCGCCAATCTGTGTATCTGCCAGTCCCGAGTAGAAACCTCATATCTTGAATTGTGCCAAACGTTGATCTGCTTATAATGGGTAATATTTCCTGAAAACACGCACCGAACATCAGACGGGTACCGGTCATTACAATTCTATTATTATGCATCTCAGCGATTGCAGCGATCCTCACACCTTCCGCTAACGACGATGGGGGTGTAGGTAACAAGACATGTACACCTGCGGATAACGCTAATTCAATCAGTTCAAGCTGGTTAACACTTGCACGCGTACCAGATTCAATGATAACGCCATCCAGTCTTTCGGTCTCGAACATTTTTTTCGGATCTTTATAGAAATCGCACTTGAAAAAATCTACGAATTCCTCTACTCGCTCGCGGTCTTCAGGCATGATACTCGTATCCGCGACACAATTGACACGCCTATTGATAGAGTAAAATCCTCTGAAGATGCGCGGCTGAATCCACTCACCAGAATATACAACCCCGATTCTCATCAAAGTTTACGGATTGGAAACCCCTGACTTTAGTCGGGGGAGGAAAATCCGCCCTCGTGTGTTAGGCTAAAGCGTTTTTTTGAAAAACACTTGACACCCTCAGCAAATTGTGGTTTAATATTTGTATCACGTTGGCAGACAGTTGAAGCGTCACCGCAAGGTGACGTGTCTGCCTACCCACTTCAACGGGGTTAAACGCGTGATACGTGAAAAACCATGAAAATAACATTCAAGTTCCGTGCGAAGCCTACGCAAACAGAGGAACATTGGCTTTTTTCGGAATTTCGCCACCAAAAGCAGTTGCAAAACTACATGCTCCAGATGCGGTCGCAGATGTGGGACTATGGTCGCAAATCTGTGTCGATGTATGACCAGATCCACCATCTGAAGACACTCCGCGCCGCCACCTCTCACTATTCCGAACATCCGCAGGATATGCAGGTGCAGACGATCAAACGCGTGAATGCGGCACACGAGCATTTTCAACGCCGTTGCAAAGAGGGAACGGAGAAAAAGGGGTATCCGAAGTTCAAGCGTTCTGTCCGTTCGTTGTCTTGGTCTTTGCGAAAACACAAACTGAAGAGTGGTGAACGTGTCCGTCAGAACCCTATCCGTGAAACCGGTCATAGGTATAACCGCCTGAAAGTGCCGAAGTTAGGTGAAATCAAGATCCGCCAGCACCGTCGCCTCATTGGAGACCCGAAAGAGGTCACGTTGAAAAAGACGGCGCGGGGGTGGTATTGCTTTATCGTTTGCGAAGTGCCTGATACGCTGAAATGTATTCCGCAATCTGCTTGTGGTGTGGACGTTGGCACACACGATTTTCTGACGACTTCTGATGGCGAGAAGATACCTAACCCCCGCTTTTACCGGCAAGCGGAACGTAAACTCGTCAAACTTCACCGCGACCTGTCTCGAAAGACGTATCAGAGTAAACGGTGGTACAAGGCAAAAGACGCGTTGGCGAAGCAAGCGGATATTGTTGCCTGTCAACGGCTTGACTTTCTGGCGAAAACCGCCTATAACCTTTTTCACCACAAAGGTTTTGATGCGGTTGTTGCGGAGAAGCTCAAACCCAGCAATATGGTAAAAAATAGACACCTCGCCAAGTCCATTTCCGACGCATCGTGGGGCATGTTTTTTGACTGGTGCGGTTGGGTAGCAAAACGCGATGGTAAACATTTCCATCAGGTGCCCCCGCAGCATACGAGTCAAACGTGTTCGGAGTGCTGTCAAAGATCCGTTATCAAACTGAAGTTGTCTGAACGTTTGTTCCATTGTAAATCTTGTGGCTTGAAACTGGACCGCGACCACAACGCGGCTCTAAATATCTTACACAGGGCGGCTTGCGCCCTTCGTGGAGAGGTGTGGGATACCATCCTCTGTGAAACGAGAAATCAGTTATTGCAACTGGCTTGTTGGGGTTAGCCCCTACAAGCCCCCGACTTTAGTCGGGGGTACTTGACAACGACTCCTCGTAAAGCATCCTTGTATTTTCCACGGTTGCCCTTTGCCGTGCTATCACATCGAATTCATCAGTAATCGCATTTTGCTCCCATTCCGTAAGTGCTGCTTCTATCTCTTGTATCACAATATCTCGGAGGGCACTAATCTCATCTTCTTCCTTAGAAAGGAGCCTGGCGATTCCTTTGGGAGACTTGTTTAGAACAGTAAGACATCCCACTTGAAAGGGTAAGAGCCCGCTTCGCCTGAGTTTTAGGGCAGCTACCGCCCACCATTTGCTGTGGACATCATCAATAGGCGGAGCACTGAGTCTCAGCGGGCGGGCCAAAGGATTCTTTTCCGCGGGCCGCCGCAAAACTTTAACAGTGCACGCCATCGTTAGACTTTCAAGCCCGCTCCAGCGTGAGTTGCCGTACCATATATCCTCGTCAGAGAAGTTATGCGTATGTACTATGGCTATACGGAAAACCTCGTGTCTAACCAAAATCGCAGCGCGCCTATCGACTAAACAAGTCAAAGGCTATTGCTTCAACAGCCCGCCCATACGGCACTTCATCTCTGATACGCGCCGTGTTCATCACCGCCAAGCTGCGGCCCATATCAGGACTTCTATGCCGCCTTGTATACGCGGCTGAATCATAGTATTCTGAAAACTCTCCTGATGTCATTTCTATCGCCCTCCACTCATAAAGTGTTCAAACCTTAGTAGTGCTTTGTCAAGTTTGAATTTTAGGGTCAGTTCGGTGTAGAAGCAAGGTTTCCTCGCCCCATAAGCGTCAATTTAAGAAAAAATAACCGCCGCGGTCCCCAAGTCGGTAGGTGCGGTTTCCTAACCGCACCGGATTTTGTGCAGAAAACTTGGATACTTCAAAACCCTCTTCAGTCCCGTAGGGACGGCATCTGTGTAGAAATGTGCAGCAACCAAGGACCCAAGCCCTAGAGGGGCGGAAACCTCTATAGAAACGCTGCCAAAAAATGTTGTGAAAATCCGTAAATTGACACCTATGGAACGGTTCCCTAACCGCACCGGAACTTAGCCAAAAACTTTGTATTTTCAGCACCCTCTTTAGTCCCGTAGGGTTTATTTGCTTGGGTGTTTCTTCAGCATATTTATAGAAGCGGTTGCTAACAAAGTCCTCAGCCCTGTAAGGGCGGCATGTTTATAATATCCATTACAAAACACTGTGAAAGATCCGTAAATTGACACCTATGGAGCGAGGTTTCCTCGCCCCTACACCGAACTGCTACAGCGGTAACGAAATCGGTGCACCGATTTGCGAGGAACGATACGTCGCCTCTGCCAACTCGATACCGTTTCTACCGATGCGTCCGTGGGTCGTCGGTTCCGCTTCACCAGCTATGCACTGGAGCCAATGGTCGATGCTTGCTCCTTTCGCTGCCATACCCCAATACCGCTGTTCGCGCTGCGCATCTGGCACATTGCGATAGGTGTCGTCATCCGGTGCCGATGCAGTGAATTCTTCCGCAGATGCCATATCGTGCGTTTTCCAACGGAGTCCGTGCCGAATCAGTGTCGCAGAGCCTTTGCTGGTAACGAGACCGTTGCCGCTGTTCCCAATTTCTGCTGCCCAACTCTTAATCATCATCCCGACACCACCGTTTTTAAAATGCACGGTCAGCACGGCGTTGTTTTCAACGGCTTCGTCAACGGGTGGGTAGGTGCCACCAAGCGGGACATGGCTCGTGAAACCATAGACAGTGGAGGCGGGACCGTATAACCACAACCAGATATCGAGATTGTGGATGGCTTGCTCTACCAACATACCGCCCGATTCCGCTTTCACAAAGAGCCACGGATGCCGTTCCGGTGAAAACCAACCCACTTGATTAGAATACGCCATCTGCAATGTGCCGAGCGTGCCGTCGTCTAATAGCGATTTGAGTTTCATATATCCCGGATCGAACCGCATCATATAGGCGACCATCAGGAGGACACCCGCATTTTCAGCGGCGGCGACCATTTCATCTCCCTCCGCGACGTTGCAACACATCGGTTTTTCCATCAAGATGTGTTTGCCAGCATCAGTAGCGGCACGCGTGATTTCAAGGTGCGGACGCGGATGGACACACACATCAACTGCATCTATGTCCGATCTGTCGAGGAGCGCACGGTAGTCTGTGTAGGCATCTGCACCGAAACGGTCTGCCTGTTCGCTTGCGGATGCTTCGTTGATGTCGGCGATCGCGACGATGTCAGCACGGCGCGTCGGTTCTTGGTAATAGGGAGCGTGGAGACCACGGAAAATGCGCCACATCCGATAATACCAACTCTGATTTTATTCATTGAATATCTCCTGTAGATTATGATGGAACACGGTTGGTGCAGGGATTTTAAGCATTTTGGGTATTCTCCGACAATGAGTGTCCTGATTCCTGATATAATTCAAGGACTGCAGCAAAAGCATCTTTGACGTTTTCTAATGCCTCAACAAGCGAATCACCTCGGTGACTAACTCAGGCAATAAGGGAGAAGTCACTGTATATCCACCCTCAGCTTGTGGGGTCAGGACAAGTGGTATTTTGTATTCCATCAGGAATCCTCCACTGATATGTATTGTAGCAAGAAAAATTTATCATTTATTTCGATAACTGTCAATAGTTGGAAATCAATCGTTCTCGGTTCTCATTATCCATCCTATACGTGAAGTCTTGCTCCAAACTCATGTTAATTGAAGTCGCCTTAAGGATAGGCGGTGGAGTTTCGTCCGCTAAAAGTTCAAGTGCCTCAGCGATAATCGCGTGTTGCAATTCTGGGTTGTTCGGCTCACCGAGCGGATGTCCAAAAGGGTATGGCACCGCTAAGGCGCGCGGCGGTTTTACCTTCTTAGTCATACTTTCAACAAGCGTAATTGAAACCGTAGAAATTCCCGCCTCTTCAACAGCACGTTGTATCAATCCTACAGACTGATTGCACATCGGTCACACCGGGGTCAAGAAAGCAACGTCTACACCATCCGCTTTAAGCATCTCGTCCAACCTCAGGTGCGAGATTGCGTAATGAGGAGTGCGGTTTTGTAATGGATCCCATAAAACTGAAGTGCCTACGGTTTAGTGATCCGATTTTACCTTCAGTCTCCAACTCCCTGAATCTATCAAGTGGAAACGCAAGGTTCGCATCAGTTTCGAGACCCCGTTCATCATAAGCCGCGCTTTTATGTCCATTTATGAGTGCTTGTGTCTGAATGGAATTTGGAATCTCGCGGTATGAACAATCTCCATTCTCAAAGGGATCCTGCCCATGGAGAAAAAAACCGGCGGTTGTAATGAGAGCAACTCTACACTCGTTCAACGGCAAGCGCAGCGGTGTGTTAGGAGATGTTTATAACGCTCACCGCGTAAAACTTCATAAAGAATCGAGATAGATGATCAAGTTTACGTGAAGATGCCATAGTGATTCTATTGACGTAGTTACGCTTTTTGATTACGCCTTGTTTTCAAGGGGCCAACCCCCATGTTCAGCAATGGTATCATCAATATCTTCCATGATTTTCACAGTTTTGTCAAGTGCACCGCAGATACTCGATAGTGTTGAATTTCATCAAACGTCAAAATTCTCGATTTCCGGTCAGTAAGCCATTTTTTTGCTGGACAGTGTCCACCTACGCGAAACTCCCACACCTCGCGGCGGATTGGCGAAAAATACTGGGTTGAGTTAATCCAAACGCGTTGGTCTACCTCCGACCAACGGATTCCTCAACTTCTGAGTTACCTCCTCTGGAAATTCTGGTAGGAAACCTGTATCTTCACTCTGAAGTAGGTGTGGCCTCTGCCAGTTGTTCACCTAACGATACCAGTTTTTGAAATAATGCACGGTTGGTTGTCAGCGGGATATGGGGAAAATCATTTTTGAGTTGATCCGCATATCGCTGTCGGTACTTTAGCGCATGCAAAATCGCATAGATATAGTGAGAAAATATCTTCCGGTCCAATAGTCGTGTGCAAATCTCCTTTTCCATCAGGAATGAAACGCATGCATCAGCAGGGTCAGTTTCATAATTGAGATGTCTGCATACTTCTTCCACAATCGTTGTGCTATGTTATGTGAACCTGGTACCATCCCTTGCTCTGCAGTAGCAGTAAGAGAGGAAAGACACGTCCCCCGCGCGTCGAAGAGGTTGATTGGCTATGTCTTGGAGATAGAGACTAAATTCCATGTAGCGGGATCTCCTCACGCTAGCCGGCTCTGCCCACACACATTGCTACGTTCTCACTAGCGAGGAGATGTTTCATCACGTCTTCCCTTGTCTATCAACTAAGTCATCATGATAAAAAATGAATCGTCCATCAAACGGGAAATGTAAAAATGGCTGAATGTACTTTTCAAGGTTTGTTCTAGCGAAGTGATTCGCGGCTCTATCTAATATCTCATTCATTGTTCATGCTGATAGGCAAAGTTGTGCACAAGTTGCTCATTGGATTCTGTTGAATCTCGGAAGGTAGGTTACCCGTTCAAGTATCGGTCCCGGTTCAAAATCTGTCACCATTTCGTCTCGTGATGAAGTAATACCACAGATTTGCAAGGGAAAAAATATCGGTGATTTTCCAATAGCGTTTGTATTCTTTACTTTCGCTCTGTGGAGCAAAGAAGTAGTTGGGAGATTTTGGAGTCAATTTCTTCCACTGGGTTACGTCAATAGTGTTGCCTCAAGCCAATGTATTTATCACTGTTCTCCCCATAACTCCGCATGATAAACTCGTGTGGGATTTAGTTTTTCTGGAGCATGTTTGACAAAAATACCGATAGCAACTCCCTGTTGGATGTTAAAAACGTTTTCATCGGTCCCTCCATCCGGTGGCTGCTCATTCGTTCTCTTATTTCCATGCAGGTCGAGGATATAGATAGCGTCAAAGGTTTTCATGAGGCTTTGGCGCATTGCCGCAAAATGTGAGGTTATCAAGGTAACCGTGGTTGGAAATGAAAGCGAGAATTCCGTATCCAGTACGGGCAATGCGCCATTGGGCAAAACGGATAAACTTGACATAATCGTCGTTTAACCATCTTTGGGTACTCTCTTCAAGTGGTTGTCCATCCACCTCAAAGTAGTCTTCTGTCGGGATGTTTCCATCAAGGCCTCGTAAGAGTGTTGTAATCCATTCGCCGTTGTTTTCCGACTCCCCTAAGTAGGGTGGATTTTTGACGATTACCATTACTGGTAGATCCCGTTTGACAGTAACAGCGGATTCGGCTTCTTTGGCGATCTCATCTATAAAGATAGGCAGCCCTTCTTGACGATCTCCTCGCTCAAGCGAGCTGTCAGGTAAGACAAGTGAGCCGTATCCCATGTCAGATGATGATCCGAGTGTGCTTTAAGTTGGGTGTGGAGTCAGCTGTGCGACATCGGATATAGGAGCGGC